TATTAAGGCATTATTTTTATTATTGTATGGATTTATTATTACTGTATGAATTTAATATTACTACATTATTTATTGCTCCTACCACCAGATTATTACTGTTATCGATTCAAAACTAATATTATTTTATACTACTAATCATTGTATTGATACTAAGTATGTGGCATACTGAGTATGCAGTATATTGATTTGATATTAATATATAATATATTGATAGTATGTGAACACTTCTATATAGTTTTACTGTATTAATATGATGTACAATAATATTTAATGATGCTTTGATTTTGCCGCTTTATATAATTTTTTTTTATTAATTTATAATACTGATATGATGACTGTTTTGTCGATTCGACACTCATACTGGTTTATACTTCTTTACTGACTTTCATACCATAATATTTTACTATTTATAACTTCTATACAATTACATATGTGGTTTACTATTTCCACATTGATTCATGATCATGACTGTTATTATCACGAATCGATTAATATTATGAATATTATATCTTTATTGTGCTTTGAGTCAGTTGTATGATTGAATGAAATGGTGGGCTTTTTAGCTTATTATATGTGGTTTAAATATTTTTTGGTCAGGGCAGACGATCAGGTGTGTGAGATTGATCATATCAGGATTCTTATGTTTATTGTTAGTTTATTTCTTTTTGTCTTTTAGCTATTCATTTGTACTCATAATAGAATAATTGTGATATAATTGTATAGATTTTGAGTAGTGTACATGATTTTTACAAAATGAATATATATATATCTACTCACAAATGAATATATATATATATATTTTAATCGATAGTTTTATTTTCACTAATATTTATATTGATAAAAAAATTAGATAGCTTTGATTGTTATTTATTAAAAAAATAAAAATAAAAATAGTTCTTTCAAATTAGATTCTGGGGCATGATAAAGCAGTTTGAGTAATCCAATGACTCAAACAGATTACGATCTCTAGGCAGCCAGTGATCCCAAATGAAAGAAAAGGAATACTAAGTATAGATTTTAAAGGTCATGTTATATTTGATTTTTCTTGCCACCAAAGAGACTTTCTTCCAAAAGCTAGAAGCAGAAATAGACAACTCCTTCCATGGTAAAACATATTTACACCTGCACCAACTAGTAAGTAAAGAATTTGTAGAAATAACTCTCTAAATCAAATGGGAGAAATAAGCATGAGAAAAGGCTTGTAAAGAAGAAAGGCCGAGCCAACAATTTATTGATATTGATATGATACTGAAAAAATATCACCTAAGTTAGGACTTCTAATTTGTTTTGTGTGTCCACTAAAATGTATGTTATTGAGGCATTATTTTTATTATTGTTTGAATTTATTATTACTGCATGAATTTAATATTATTGCATTATTTATTACTGCTGCCACCAGATTATTATTGTTATCGATTCAACACTAATATTATTTGATACTACTAATCATTGTATTGATACAAAGTATTTGACATACTGAGTACACAATATACTGATTTGATATTAATATATAATATATTGATAGTATGTGAACACTTCTATATAATTTTATTGCATTAATATTATGTACAATAATCTTTACTGATGCTTTGATTTTGCCTCTTTATATAATTTTTTTATTAATTTATAATATTGATATGATGACTGTTTTGTCGATTCGACACTCATAATGATTTAATGATTTCTCCACCATAATGCTTTACTGGCTTCAATACCATAATATTTTACTATTTATAAATTCTACTGCTACTACATGTATGTTTTACTATTTCTACATCGATTCATGATCATATGATTATTATTATTATGAATCGATTAATATTATGAATATTTCATCTTTACCGTACTTTGAGTCAGTTGTGTGATTGAATGAAATGGTGGAATTTTTAGCTTATTATATGCGGTTTAAATAATTTTTTATCTGGGTAGACAATCAGGTGTGTGAGATCGATCATATCATGATTCTTTATGTTTATTGTTAGTTTATTTCTTTCTGTCTTTTAGCTATTTTTTTGTACTCAGAACAGAATAATTGTGATATAATTGTATAGATCTTGAGTAGTGTACATGTTTTTTTTTTAAATGAATATATATATATATATATATATATATTATGTTTTAATTGATAGTTTTATTTTCGCTAATATTTATATTGATAAAAGAAATTAGGTAGCTCTAGTTATTGTATATTAAAAGATAAAAAAATAATTATTTCAAATTAAATTATGGGGCATGATAAAGCAGTTTGTTGGAATCTAATGACTCAAATAGATTAAGGTCTCTAGGCAGCCAACAATCCCAAAGAAAATAAAAGGAATACTAAGTATAGATTTTAAAGGTCATGTTACATTTGATTTTTCTTGCCACCAAAGAGACTTTCTTTCAAAAGCTAGAAGCAGAAATAGACAGCTCCTTCCATGGTAAAACATATTAACACCTGCACCAACTAGAAAGTAAAGAATTTGTAGAAATAACTCTCTAAATCAAATGGGAGAAATAAGCATGAGAAAGGGGTTGCAAAGAAGAAAGATTGAGCCCCCCTCCCCCTTATCCCTTGGGTCTGTAGGTATTCTTCCAAGATACCAAGTGCAGCTTTTCGAGATTAATATCCCCATGATAAAGAAATCTAGCACAGATCCTGTTTATAAACTTAAAACATAATTTAGGAAAAATTGAATCTCTGATCCAATATGCAATAATGTTTCAAATAGTATAATAAATTAATTGGAACCTCCCAGCATATGAGATGAGTTTAGCCTTTCAACGAAATAATTAATTGCTGATTCTTTATAGCAAAGGTTGGAAATCTAAGGTGAGAAGTTTCTTATAAGAAATGAGGATGCCCAAATACTTGATAGAGTTCTCCACTTTGTCAATGTTGAGTATGCCACAAATATCCCTAGAGTTGGTCACATATTTAGAGAAGGAGATACAACCCTTAGAAGGGTTAACATGAAGGTCAGAGATAGCAGCAAACAAATTCAAGATGTTAATCAAAATAGATGCATTCAAGGAAGTACTTTCATAAAACAATGAAAGCATCTTCGGCATATAGGAGGAGTGAAACTTGAAAGTTGTCATACCTAAACCCAACAGAAGGAGTAGGCAAAGAAGAAGAGTCTAAAGGGCTAAATAAGCAATCCATCACAATACAAAAGAGAAAGGGGGATAATGTGCACCCCTACCTTAGCCAAACAATAGATTTAAAATATCCATGAAAAGCATCATTAAGGCTAATAGAGAGTTAACATCAACAATACAAGCCTTGATCCATGAAACAAATAGGGGAGGAAATCCTTTTTAGAGCAGCCTTTGAATGACAAAATCCCTATAAACCATGTCAATGCTTTGTAGATCTCAGGTATTGGAAGAAGAGGGTTGATGTTGGAAATGGAGTTAGGGTTATGGTTGGGGGAAGGAAGGTGGAGGGAGGAGATTTTGTAGAGAACAAGAAAATTTGCATGGGTGAAGGTGGTCATGAGGGGGAGGGGACTCTCCGGCAAACTCGAAGAGGATGGAGGAGGCGATGAAGAAGGCATAGAATGGGGGGAAGCTCTTTAGGTTTTCCTCACCAGCTGCTCAACAAACTTAAAGCCTTTTCCTGTTACCCTTGGGTAAGAAAAATTGAGTGATTTGCATGATAATCACTAATAGAAAATTTTTAAAAAGTCTTTAATTTTTTTTTTATAAAAAATAATGAGAAAAAATCATTGCAAAATAACTCTAGAAATATCAACTGCATTTTTTTTTAACTCATATGAGTCCATCTCATAAATCAATTTCTTGAAAATTTCTAATTTTTTTTCTATTTATGAGTGCATTTTATTTATTTTATTTCATTTAAGAAAATTCATTTAGTTAAACATCAATCTTGATGCGTTATTTGAGTTGAAAACTTATGAAATTAAATTCATGATCATCATTACTCTGATTTCAACAAATGTCTAGTCAAATTAAACATTTTGATGAGATAAGCCCAACAACACAAGAAATATTTCAATATGAGTTCAAATGAGCTCGAATCAAGCACTTAAAAGCATAGTTAGAAATTATGACATTAGTTGAAGCACTAATCAATTTTCAAATCTTGTGATTTTATAATCAAAACAAGCATCCAAATAAGAGGAATTGAAGAAACTCATATCATTTAATTTTAAGTTCATGAAAGCAGTTAGTTATTAAAAAATATTATCTATGATCAAGATAATCAATATGAGTTGTCTGGTCAAGTGTTTTGAAGATTTTAATACCATTACCAAAATATTACTCTAAGAAATCATAAATAGATTCTTATTTCACATGAAGTAGGGCTTGAAACTTGATTAGAAGTTAGAAAAAGCTTGGAGATTTGAAAAACTTCAAAATTCCTCTCGAAATTTTACACTAACTATCACGACCTATAATTGTTGTCGCCCATTCGATGTCACTTCTCAATTTTCGCCCAATTACTTTTGTTCGACTATCAGTGTTCTACCATCATCTCCTATTTTTCTTTACGTGACGACCATCATACAACAATCATCACTTGATTATAATCTCTTGGCCATCATTGCCCAAGTATGATATCCCAAACAATGTCCTCCGAGTACATCTGTCAACTTTGTCATCCATCATCGCTGTTGATCTGTTGATACAAGCCATCAACACTCGCTGTTGATACAAGCCATCAACACAATTTCCAATGTTTGCCAACTTTATTGTCCGTTTTCGTGAACAATATCAATACATGTCATCACCTATAAGATCAATGCATGTGATCGATACCAAGACTAATGCATTCACCAACGTCAACGCATATCATCACCAACTATGTCATTGATCATTATCAATAATGTCGACGCATATCATTGACACCAACTTCGACTCTTGACATGAACATTAAAACTTATATTAACATTTTTTAGCCTTTGGCCCCCCTCAAAGGAGAAAAATTAAACTAGCTAGCTAATAAACACATATGTTTTATAAAATTTATTTTTCTCATATGGACCTGGAACGAATTATCGAACCAATAACTGTTCAAGAAGCTAATAAACACTTGTAAGAAGAAGTGCGAATTAAACAAAAACAAGCAGATTAGTCCAAAAACTGCTGTAGAAAACCCTTTCCAGGTACATTTTCTACCAGTGCCTCCACAACTATAAAAAAATGATCAACAGTAGCTACACAGTTAGTCCAAATGCTTCTAAAAGTAAAAAAAAAAAACAAATTTACATGATCAAGATGATAGAGCGAAAGACCATTTAAAAAGGCTTAGACAGTTACCATCCTCCACCGCAGTTTCTTCAGATGATCCCGAAGAGCTTCCCATGGTGTCCTCAGAACTGCTGTCATGGCTGAGCTTCAACCGGTGAGCATTGTCGGCGATCCATTTGGAAACTTCGGGGGTTGAGGCCCAATCGGAGAGAGCTTCTCTGGTGGATTCTCGAGTGAGATCTTCCCATTCCATTTTCGAGAATTTTCTCGTCGGCGTTTTGTGGAACGAAGAGTAGAAATCTTCACTGACGCGTCTGTTTATTGTGTTTGTGGCTGGGTTCTTGTTTGGGGTTGAGCTCATCTGTCCTGGAAAAATGAAGGCAACAGTAGAGAATTCAGATATATGAGAGACAGAACAAAGTTAAAATTTTGGATGCCTTCATAGTCCAGTAATGGAGTTTAATTTTTCTTCTATATTAAATATGATATCCAATATTTAATATTTTAACTACCCTAAATTTTCTTTGTAAAAAAAAAAAAAGAGTAGCCGACTTATATTTTACATCCGAGAAATTAAGGTTATATGTCCTTCACAATCAAATCATGATAAAATCTACAATGATGAGAAAAGACGTATAAAATTCTAATATTTTTTGCATGCTAAGCTTCTTTTATACTTTCTGTTCTTCTTCACTCTTGTTGTTTGAAAAAAAAAGCTTATTTCCTAATATTCTAAGGCTTCAAACCCAAATCTTTAGGCTAGATAAAAGCATGTGCTCTATCACAATGCGTATCTTCAATCAAAGTTAATATGCAAAAGCTTATATGGTATTGATGCTGCAAACAAATGATAATTGATGCAATTAGCCTGCTAAAAGAGGGCTTCATGACAGTAGTTAGTTCACCATATGCTTAGCAAATCATCAAATTAGAAGTATTCTCAAGTCTCCACTATCGGAAAAGTTTCTCCATGCTACAAAGGCTTTGTTTGGGGCAGCTTTTAAACTGCTTTTAAAGTTATTTTTTAACACACAAATATTTTGAACTAAATTTTTTTTTTACAAAGCAGTAAGAAAGCCGTCCCAACCAAAACCTATATTTTTACTGAAAAAACGCACAATGTTGAATTTCCACGAACTTACACTGTATAAAAAACAAAATTAAAGCAATGGAACAGTAAGGCACTACATCAAACAATTTAATGATCTACACAATAAGATTTGCAATGCCGTATCATGAGAAAGGATTCCATACGAAGAACGCTACATTATCTACAGAAAATAAAATAAATGCATAGCATGCTCGAACCTTTCGATGGAGAACCGGAAAGGACGTGATGATAACTTGGACTTCCCCACAAAGGCTGCCCAGAACCCTTACCAGCTGAACGATTCAAAAATTCAACATTCCTATTGCTTCCAGAAGAAGGTTGCCAGGTCCTTTGTTGCCACAAAGGAGATTTTTTTATATGACTATTTTGCCTGCACAAAAAGAAAAAAAAAAAACAAGACTATTACAGTTACAGAAAGACGATAAGCAAAACCAAGAGTGAGATGGTTCAAGTATGAAACTCACGGTGTTGCTGGAGTGGAGAATTCAATCGATGTGATGAGCGAGCTGAGAGACCAACATGCACACAATGCAACCACCGATAGAAGTGCATCAAGAGAGCTCTGTGAAGATAGCAGCAAAAAATTTTGAAGACAACTCTCAAATCTACAATGAATATGTTAAAAAAACTCCAAAAATAGCTATCACATAAAAACTGGTCCTATTCACGAGCATAAGCATGAAATAACCACACAGTTCAATAAATGTGGACAGAATTGTGAAGTGGTGAGCTATAAATTTGTTAATTCACTCTGATCGAATTAACACTCCATATCAATGTTCTAGAGTTATAAGCTACCCCCGCCAGGAGAGGAGACTTGATAGAAGGAACTATATACTTTAGGTGAAAGATGCAGTCCTGAAGGAAAAGAAGGGAGTGGTAACCAGGAATTCAGAAAGCTTGAATAAACAAAAGGTCAGAAAAACAAGGGCAGGAAAAAAAGCTTTTCCAGAAAAGAAAGTTGAGGAAAGAAGAAAATTAATGCAAATCGCATCCATGCTTAAATAATTTCCCTCCTAACCTGAAATAAATTTAGACAGAAGCAATCTGACATACGATGCAATTGGCTTCCACTTTTTCATTAGTGAATAATTGATTCACTGAAAGTCATGGTCGTTAGATATGTTTACAGACCTTTTTCTTCAGGAAATCAGCTGCTAGGTTAAGAGGAGATGCAAATCACGAATTAAGATTACCACACATTGCTTTACAATTAGAAGGAACAAAAAATAAAGAATAAAAATAAGATATCCTATTTATATTTTTATGACCAGACATTCGTACTTTACGAGCTTAAGTGATTTTTAAACTTATCCACCTTGACAAACTATTGCAGAGGTTGAATGAATTTTTGCTTTAAATTATTAAGTTTTATTTCATCCTGAATATCTTAAATTTTAGTTTTTTTTTAGTTTTAAACTTTTATTAAAATCAAAGCCCCTTAATGATTAATTTTGAGATTTGGGGACGTTTAAAAAATAGAGACCCCTTTGGTTAATGTTAACTTTCAGCACGGCTATCATTTGGGTGATTTTGAAATTATTTTAAATAGTTATATTTTCAGGAGAGTTTGAGAGACATTTAAAAAGTATGACCCCCCTCCGATTGAGATTAGCTTTTAACACGGACATCATCAAGGTTTTATGGGTATCTATTTCTGATGAGGTTCATAGATAACGGATCAGACCACGTTGCAATCGCGGAAGCATCGCCGATCAATGGCCACGATTCAGAGCTGATATTTTTAGTTATTCATGCATTTTCAGTTTTCAGAGTATTCCTGTTTACCCTGTGTGTGAGTAAGTTATGTTGGGGCCCCGAGGGCGATTTAGTCATTAGTTATGCTTTTATTTGCTTGTATCTCATGACCTATATATAGGGGTCATGTATCATTGTATGAGGTTAATGAATATTGGAATGAAAATCTAGTTTGTGCTTCTTTTTTTCTTCATTGCATGAGAGCGTGAAGAGAAAGAGAGAGAGAGCTCAAGGGAGCAACCGCAAGGCCACCAGTCGTTGGAAGCGCTCCGGCTCGTGGTTAGTTATCTTTATCTCGTCGCAAGTTTCCCATCTCCTTCCCCTCCCATCCGAATATCAGCCCAAAGCCTTCATTGCGCCGCCCCTTGCAAACCACCGCCAACCCACCACCACCCGGCCGACACTTGCCCGTCATCTTCCCCACCTCCTTTTCCTAGTTCCCATAGAATTTGAATTTCAAATTCAAATTCTTTCCTAAATTGGAAATTCCATTTATGGAAATATTTTCATGAACATTCAAATTAAAATAAAAGTTTGGATTTTATTTAAATATCTTCCTAGTCATCATTCACATATAGGAAACTATTTCTCCTCCTCTCCCTAATCTCTCCTCCTTCCTTCATGCCCGCCGCGCCCCTATAATGGGTTCTCGCATTAAAGTGTGCAATTAGATCCTCCAACCAATATTTGAACTCTCCAAAATGATTCAAATTATTTTCCCTCTCCATTGTTTTAAATATGAAATCAATATTCATGTTTTTAATTCTTCCCTCACCCGTGTCGCATCGCCGCCGGCCTCACTGCATTGGAGGACGCCCCATTAATGCATTCATTTAAGGCATTAATATAACACCACGATTTAGAGACTTTCAAATCCTTCTTCACCCTAATGTTGCCTTAAACTGAAGTTAATTTCAGTTTTTGTTTTAAACTCTTCTCTCTTCCCGCCTCCCCTCTTCCCCTCCCCCTCTTCCCTCCTCCCCCCCCCCTTCTCCTCCCCCCCCCCTCGCCTTCTTTTTCCCTACTTCCCACCACTACGTTCGCCGGCCCTCCTATTGATCGGGCTCTCATTAGAGCTCATTAATCCCCTTTATTGCACTTTGAAATTTGAAAGGGTTTCAAATAATTCCTCCAAAATTTACTAAGAAATCTGAGATTATTCAGATGTTTCAGTAAATCTCCTTCACCACATCCCAAACTAAACTCTCTCTCTCTCTCAACACGAGCCCGCACTCACCCTCACCCCACTTTGGCCGAATATCCCCCTCTCTTGGAGATTCCGCCGGGCTACCCCTCCTCTCTTCTTGAAGAATATCTCACACGCCAAGCATGTATGGCGGGGATCGGAGTTTTGAGTGGGTCTAGTTTTCCATCGCGAAGACAGCATCATCACTACGGGTACCTTACTTCGACGTAGGTAATTCGAAGACGAAACCACTGTGGAAGTGAGTACTTGGAAAGAGATACTCATCCTTCACAGTCCCTCTACGACCGTGAATTTGTGCACAACGCCCAACTCTCGGAGTCCGTAGAACGAACGCAATGCATTGCACGCCCTTCAGCCCGTCACTCGTCGACTCCCCCGTCCGCTCAGACCCTGGCAACGAAACTTCCTCGTCCCGGCACTCTGTTTGCCGTGTGCTGAAATTCTCTCCTCGCAAAGCCCGTCTAGTTTGAGTGTATATATTCCCCAAGGTGAACGTGTTCGTTTATAATGATGGATGTTGTAATAGCTTTAGTGTTTGCTACTTTGTTTGGTCTTTAAGGTTTGGCTAATCTACATCACTTCTTTCGCTAAGCCTAGTTGATAACTATGAAGTTTAATATTTCTTGCGCTATCGCATATTCAGTTTTAATTGTAATTTCTTTGCCAACTCAATTTTAATTTCTTACGGCAGCTCCTGCAATTTAGTTTCACATTCATATTTGGTATCAGAGCATGGTAGCATGCTTGATTCAATGCGCAGTGCATCCAGGAAGTTTCCTTAGCTTTGTTCGATAGTTGTTGCATGCATAACATCTTTTAAATAAATTTTATTGACTGATTTCTCTGCTTGTCCGGAAATTTCTGCAACAATTTTGCATGTTTACATTGCTCATACCTAAATGGTGTTTAAAAGTGCTGTCCTCATTGAATTCGCATGCCATTATAGTGTAGGACATTAAACCTTGCGCCATCACCTTTCCTGCCACTAGTTTGTGAACTGTTGGGCTGACTTCCAAGCGTTTTGCTAGTTTGCTGTCCACACATTAGGAGTTACTCTCATCACTTAGAATAATTTTCCTAGTTGTGTACTATTGCTGTCCACTCAAAAACTGCACTTGTTGGAGACTTATAATTGACCGGAAGGCTGTCCAGAAAATTTCTGAAGCATTTAGAGAACTTTAGGTGACCCCAACCTAGTGTTTAGGTGCTGTCCACACCCTAAAAGTCATCCTAAACGCATAGGCAACTTTCCCCAACTGCTGTAGATTGCTGTCCACAAGTTTCCTGCACTTATCTAGTGAATTGTAGGCTCGTTTCTTAGGCGTTTGGTTGCTGCCTTCAACCTAACAACCTCCCTAAGTGCCTAGGCTACTTAACCCACTAGCCTAGCTTGCTGGCCAAACTTTTTCTTCACCCTGTAGTGAGTCTAAGTGAGCCTAACCTAGTGTCTAAATGCTATCCCCTACGCCCATTCCTCATTGAGCATCACTTTACACTTTTAAATGGACTCGATAGGTTTTCAGAAGAGATTAGACGACCTAGTTAGTCTTGTAGGCTCTCTAACTAAAACCACAAAGGAGTCACATGTTGACTCTCCCCACTCTAGGTACGTTCCCCATTCGCTCAGTCAGGCGAGTCGGAAGGTGCCCCACTATGCTTATCAACCTAGACCTGAGACTAATCCTCGACAACCTCACCTAGAGTCACCTTACCAGTTGCCCACCTTTGATGGCTCATCGGACCCTTACTATTTTCGGGAATGGGCTAGACAACTAGATGACTATTTTGAATCATGTCATATCCTTGAATCCCACCAGCTTAGCATAGCTAAATATCACCTCAAAGGTCAAGCTCTTCAATTTTGGGTAAGATTGGAAGATCGTCGAGAGTCTAGCGGTGAGTACCTTACTTGGAAGGACATGAGGAGAGAACTAAACTTAAAATATAGGCCCTCTACCTATGGACAACCTGCTGATTCTAAGTTTAGGTCCCCCCCTGCCCATCAAACCATTGGATATTACACTCTCAATACCCCTACCCCTAGTGACCGTCATTTAGAGCACCACCCTACCCCTTGCCGAACAAACCGTGGACCTTACTGTGGTCAAGACCACCCTTCCTTTAGTAGCATCAGGGTTACTGTCCCACCCTGTAGATCTCCACTTAATATTGATGACCGACCCTTTGGTAGGCCTTCTGTTGGGTCGAGCCCTTATGACTCCACACTTGGACTAACATCTAGCCATCCCAGTCAACCTTTAACCTCCCCAGTCCTTGACCCTGCAAGTTTAATTTTAATAAAGAATTGCAGTAAAAAGAAGAAATCAACGGAACCTGAGACTGAAGTCATCCATTTTGTGGAAACTATCGATAACGATGACTTCTTTGAGGATGAAACAGAAGTGATTGAATCAGACTCCCAGAATGACTTAAACCCTGAGCTAGGAAAGTTAGAACCTGTAAACGTCGACACCTTAACCCACCCCAATCCTAGTTTCTTCAAGGATGAGTCTTTGGACAAAGTATGCCTGGATGATAGTCGGACTTCGAACACACTAATTTTGGAAGATCCTGATTTAGTTGTAACAACTACTGAGATGACTTTAGGTAATCTTGATGGTAATGATTTCGAATTGGAAGTGAATCAATTAAAACTATCACCTGAATTGAATGAACCGGAACCCATTGATCTTAAGATTATGACCCTACCTCATCATATTGAGAACATAAGTACGAATTTGAAAGATAGTGATTTGACCCTGAGTGGTTTTGGACCTAATTGGGGAATTGGGCATCCTCGTATTTTATTGGAATCCATTTTAGGAGTTGCCCCTTTAGAGTTGCATTTGAAGGAGTGTGATTTTCTTGATTGGATTTATCTCACCACTCCTCATACTGACTTTAATGTTAGAGAGAATTTTAGCCCTTACTTTCATGTCACCACTCTAACTGTTGTGCCCACTTCTGTACCCCATTTCTTAAGTCCCATACCTGCTGGTGACTCGTTTGGCTATCCCATTTTGGCTGTAGGTCAGGACCCATCACCTTACTTTGTTCCTGATTCATTTGTTTTGCCCATCATGTTCTTAGCCTTCCATGTTAAAGACAATCTCTCTCCTAGTTGGATGAATTTGCTAGATGACACTGTCAACCCTAGGAGACCACCTGCGACTTTAACTCAGACTTCCCATAGAAGTACCCTGGTAGCTAAGAACGTTTTCATTGCTCCCCCTACACCAGTCCCCTTAGATCGAACACTTTAGACCCCTCTTTTCGTGACTCGTCCACCTTTTCTAGCTATGCGTTTGTGTTAGTTAGTATGCTGTGTGTGTGTGTGTTGTAGTCTGTTTTCTTTTGAGACATTTCTGTTTAAAACTTTTGTGTGAGCCCTGATTCTTGTCATTCGTCGTGCATACCGGTTCTTTTGCATATGCATTTGCATTTCATCCCCTGGAGCTTCATAAAGAAATTAAAAGAAGAATTGAAACAAAGTAATTCCAATTATAAACTTATTGAGATCACAAGAAAAGATTTAAAGAATTCGCAGTTGGAGACTTTGTGTGGTAACGGATCCGTCCGGAGTTTCCGCCGGCTCCGTGAAGAGTTACATGCTAGAAGCGCCAGACCTTTTAGGATAATTTCAAGATAAATAGCAATGCTTATGTGCTGGACCTTCCAAAGTTTTAACATCAATCCAACTTTAATATAGAAGATTTAGTAGCCTTTGAGGGACTGAGCTGAACCCTGAAAATACCACTTCAAAATGAGCCTTGTAGAACCCAACCAGTGAGCCCCAGCCTACCTCACTCCCCAATTACCACCCATTTACCCAATTGCGGGAGAAGATCGTGCTATACTTGACGATGAAATCATTTCCATGAAGGAAGGTGGGTGC